GTTGAGAACACACTGATATTTAGGCTACTGCTGAGCACTGCTCCCACATCATCAGGGCTGCCTCTTCATCCCTCCCCACTCTCAAGGCCAGCAGCGGGCAAGAGGATGGAAGGAGCCAACCAAAGGCCTATGCCACACCTCATAACGTGCTGCTCAGCAGTAAAAGGTAGGGAAAATGAGGGGACAAGGGGACATCGGTGGTTTTTATCCTATGAATGAACCACTACACATATGGAGGCCATGTCTCTCAGGAAGTGGCTGAACAGCGCCTATTGATGCGAGCGCTTTTGCTTTAATTTCATGAGCAGCTTTGCTTATTAAACTGCCTCGATCTCAACCCTCAAGCTTGTCCATCTGACTTTCTCCCCTTGCTCTGTTGTGGAAGGTGTGAAGCGAAGGTGTTTTGGGAGCTGGCAGCCGGCCCAGGCCAACCCACCACAGCAGGCAATGTCCGCAGTATTTATTAGATTGTGGTTTTGTCAGCCTAGCCCCACTCAGGAGAAGGTTTTGTGCTTTTTGGTATTCCTTCTGGACCTCACACCAGAGGTGTGAGCAGAGGCAGGGCAGTTACTCTTTGAAAGTTGGTCTGGGACAGACTCAGCTATTTTCATGTTCATACAGTTATGTCCTAGCAATCAAAAATGTGACTCACATAGAAAGAAATCAGTAGCAGGTAATGATGCAGTTCGTGTACATCTATAGGTAGAGACTTCAGCCAAAAAAAAAAAAAAAAAAAAGAGAGAGAGACAAAGACAGATGACTCAGAGAAGAGACCAGGTGAAGCATGGAAAATCTGAAAACTCGATGTTTAGTATAATCAGTCTGCAATTGGCATGTAGTTAAAACATAAAACTAAGATTCCACTTACTGCTATCTACATTAGAAAACTATCAACCTTTTGTAAGGTGACTATGTCTAAAAACAATGCATTTCTTATGTATAAAAAGACTGCAGAGAGACCAAACGTAAAATGCACGCACAAAACTATGAACAGGTGTAAGCATCTTAATGTTGGGAAGCCCAAACCATCTTCTTTAAATGAGAACCTCCAGGGGTGACAAAGAATTTCTGGATGATAACGATGGAGTATTTCCAAAGTATACGGATTGTTAATACAAAGCAGAATCCCTCCTAAAACATGAGGATGAAAGGATATACAGCAACTCTTTCTTTTTTGGAGTTGAATATCAACATGGATCCTAGTGTCTGCCGAAGTCTCAAATGCTAGCACCTTGGCCACAGTTTGCATCTAATTGGCAGTCTTAAAAGCCAAAACAAAGATCTAAGAGGTATTCTTCATGACTTATTCTATCACCTCTGGAGTTTTGATACAGGACAGAGTGCACTTGTGCTGACAGAGCTGTATGGGTGTATTTCTGATACTGTTTGTGCTGTGAATAAAAGTAGTTCAGCTCCTGTATGTCCTGTCAGGACTTCTCAAAACTATACCTTAAATATGACCAATGGCTAACTTGCAGTTTTGTACACTAAGCCAATCTAAGCAACTGTATTCAGATACACACACCAATAACAAAACAAAACAAAAAGCTCAACCAAGCAACAAAAACAAAATTTAGCAATGTACTAATTGCTCTGATAAATTTTCAAAAGCTATTAAGAATAAGGTAAAGCCCTTTAATGTATGGCCTCATATTTTAGGAGTGCTACTTTCTCATTCTCACATCTTTTCTGCTTGTAATTATTTGGTGCTTCTGAGCCTGCAACAGCAAACCTACCCCCAACAAGTTTTGTCTCATAAACAGGATATTTAGCTGTTAGATGATATACCAGCTTTCTGTTTAGAACAAATTCTCTTTAGTGATCTTCAACACTTTTAAAAAATTGTGGTAAGACATATTACAGTTTTCTTGTAGCTAAACTGCAGTTTAGTTCCTGGCAAGTAATGATTTAGTTACCTTACACACAGAACTGCGTATGTGCTTGGAAAAAGCTGCTGTTAAATTTTAGAGGCCAGTCTTTTAATGGGAAAATACTGCTCAGACAGGATTTCTGAATTTCTCTTTACAATTTTAGATAAAGTTTTAAATAATACAAATAATGAAAGTTTATGTCCTACTTGCAATGAAAGAGCAGCATGGATTCTGTTGGTGTTTCCTTCTCTGCAGGAGTTACAAAGTTGTAACTGTGAATTGCTTTAGTGAGCTCTGCAACATTTGTAAAACTGAACAGTAAGAAAAGCCTGGCGCATCTTTTTCCAAGCTAAAGTTATGTCTCTCTGACATCAAATGTGAAAAATCTCCTCCTGCTTCAATGTAAGAACTGCCAGAGTTCTTGATACATATTAATACGATTTTTGACACTTAATTTTCTCAAGACTTGGGGTAGCTCCTGAAATAAAAAAGACATTTTTCCAGAGGAACAACATCTGAGCTATCACACAGTGCACTGTACCCCACACTTGCAGCAGTTCTCTAAGTTCCTTCCAAACAAAAGTGAGTGCATTCATTGTTCACATTGGACACAAGCCCAAATGTATAATTGCAACCAAAAATGGGAAAACAGATAAAGAAAGGGAGAAAAAGAAATCTACTGCTGTAGTGGCTCAGCTTCAACATAATAAAACTTATATTAGAATGTTGCTATGCAAGGAAAGGACATGACTGTCAGGTTGCCTGACAGTAGGAGCAGTTCTGAACTCAGCAGACGAAGAGACCGTTCTCTGGTACAATTGAACAAGGAATTCTGCCCATAAATAGTAGCCAGTATTAACATTAATAATAAATTCCTTCATTAAGACATAACAAACATTTACTTAACAGATTAATTGCAGAAGTTACTCAATTTTGGAAACAGTTCTGAAATGTATAAAGTATGATGAAAAACCATGTTGAATTGATAAACCTTCATGCTTCTTTTAGTCAGGCTCTAAATACATATGTACCGAGTTTATGAAGCAAGGATTTGGTAGCAAGAAGCTGTGGCAGTGGCCTCTGTGAGTAGAGCTCATCACTGCCCCACGTCACATAAGAGCCAGCTCCAGCTGCTCCAAAAGAGGCCCAATGCTGAGCTGTGAGCAACGCTGGGTGCACCTCTGGCAGAGCAGATTTAAGTAAAGGAAGAAGCTGCTGCACAGCAGCACCTGCAATCACCAGGGTCAGCAGACGAGTACAGGAGGTGCTCCAGACATGGAGCAGAAGCTCTGCGCAGTCCCAGAGGGACCTATAGTGGAGCAGGTTGTCCTCCAGAAGCCCATGAGCACCACACAGAGCAGATCTCCACGTGCAGCCAGGGAGAAGCCCACGGCGCAGCAGTGGGTGTGGCCTGGAGGAGGCTGCCACCGGCGGAGAGCCCTCACAGGAGCTGCAGGCCGTGGAGAGGAGCCTGTGGTGGGACGGGAGCGCGCGGGGCGCTGCTACCTACGGGGTCCTGCACTGGAGCAGTCTGCTCCTAAGTATCGACTCTGTGGTACAGAGCTGTGCTGGAGCAGTGCTTGGAGAGTTGCAGCCTGTGGGAAGTTCGTATGGAATCAGCTGGGGAAGGATGATCATCTCACTGCTCTAGTCTGTTAGTTATCAGCAATAACTTATATTGAGCTCCCAAGCTTGTTTTTTATTCATTATGGTAACTGGTGGCTATCCTCATCACAACCCCTGAGCACTTTTCTATCATGTTTTCTCTCCCTGCTCCTCTGTGGAGGAGGAGTGAGAAAGCAGCTGTTCTACAGTGAAACCACCACTGTGTACCAGCAGGAAAAGCATAAAACTGAGTAATGGGCCTTTTCCGACAAATGCTGAAACAGAGGATAAAGACCAACAGTACCAAGAAGAACCAGCAGTGAAACATATTTCTAAAATGTTTTGAAGTAATATTCACCTTGTTTTTGAGAAAGACCCGAACAGAGGGAAGAGATTTTTGGTGTTACGTTCACTCTCCCACTGCTCCTCCGGATCCCCTGGTTGCGGTACTCACTGCAGACTGGGGATGAATGAGAGGGCAACAGTAAGTTGTGAGCAATTGGAGTGCTCAGCCAGGAAGAACGTGATGTTCGTGTGGATGATTTCTTCCTCCGCTGGTGAGATTGCTGTTACAGCCAAACCAAGTATGCAGAGGTGCAGGTGAAGTTCAGAGACGTCAGTGTGACAAACCCTCTGGTCCAAGTCCTGGCAAACGCGACACAGACCTCGCAGCACGTCACTAGCAAACGCAGCGCCTTACTTAAGGGCCGCACGGTACTAACGGAGCCGTACCCGACCCGAGCCAACGTTCGCCAAGGACTGCGGTACCTCCGAGCACTTCACGCCCGCCGTTTGCTGCAGAGGCAGCGAACCACACAATGGTCCCTCACAGAGCACGCGGAGCGCGGGCCGGCGCTGCTGGGCGGGGTGGGCGGCACGGGCTCAGCGCGCGACGAGGCGGACCCGGCGCGCGGCAGCGGCCGTTGCAACCGTTGGAGACCCGGCCGCGGTGCCCTGAGGACGGCGGCACTCGGTGGGGCGGCGATGCGCCGCAGGGTGCAGCTCCAGCCTGCACGGGTTCCGCCGGGAAAATAAACATTTTTTTTTAATCTATTTTTTTTTTCTTTTTCTTTTTTTTTCCCTGAACAAAGCGCCCCAGTGTGAAGTTCGGTGTTGCTGCGAGCGCCCGGGAGTGACGACGTGCCCCGCGCGTGACAGGACAGTCCTCAGCCCCCCTCCAGTGCTTCTGGGGAAGTGGCCCCAGCGCGCGCGTTCCCGATGCCAACAGCCACCGCCTCGGCTGCGGTGCATTCCGGGGAGGCTGAGGCCCTGTTCCAGCCTCGGTCCCGCTGGGCCCGGCCCGACCGAGCCGCACCGCCGCGCTCTGCGGGCCCGGCCCGGCCCCTTGCACCCGAGGCGACCCCCGCCGCCCGCCTCGGCTGCCCCCTCCCGGAAACGGCGCCGCCGAAGGAGCGTGATCCGATTGGCCGTTACCCCTGACACGATCCCGCCTCCTCGGCGCGGCGCTAGCGTCGATTGGCTAACGGCGCTGTCAGTCGGAAAGGGCGAGTCCCCCCACTGCCCGAGCTGCGCTCTCGTGGGGCGGGCGCTGCTGCCGGGCGTCGCGGCGCTGGTGCTGGTGCGGCTGCGGGCGGAACAGGGATGCCGTCCGCGGGGCGGCGGGCGGCACTCCGGCGTGGAGCTGAGGGCGAACGCGGCCGGTAAGCTCCGGCCGCGGGGAGGGAGGGCGGATGCCCGTCTCTACGCGAGTCTGTTTCGCCCGGCGCCGGAGGGGCCGACGGCAGCGTGCCGGCACGGGCAGAGCGGCGGGCGGCGGGATGCCCGGGGCGGACCCCTCGCGGTGCCCTTCGGCCGTGCCCGCGTCCCGGCGCCCGGGCGGGACCGGCGGCGCGGCGGGAACTTCGGAGCGGCGGGTGTCGCTGCGAGGCGGCGATGCTCGCCCGGCGGTCGTTGGAGCGCGGCGCGGAGCTGTCATCGCCGCCGCCTTGGCAGGGCTGGGGGCGCCGCGGGGGCTGCGGAGACGGCCCCGGGATGCCACCCTCCCGGCGGGTGCGGCGGCAAAAGACCTGGGCCCCGCGGCGTTGCCCCGCTGCTGAGAGCGATCGCGGAGGGAAACCTTCGTGAACTGGGCGCCGCACCTGAGCGCCGCGGGCTTGGTCGCTCGGCGGGGCCGGGGGGCGGTCACGGCTGCACGCTGCGCCCTGAAGTTGGCGAAGCGGGGAGGGAAAAGTTAAAGGAGGTGAACCGTCACCTTGGTGGTGGTGGGCGGTACGTGACCGTTGGCTGTGAAGGCAGAGGAGTTCCGAAGACGAAGTCCCGTTGTCCACGCACACACTTTCTCATTGTTCTTCAGCCTCCTTTACTCCTAGTGATTGGAGGTGGTGCCGGAGGGCTTTGGAGAATTGCCAGATCTCGCAGATCGGGAGGAAAAGAAAAAGCCTTTAGATGCCCATTACGGTCGTTAACGTAAACATTCAGAATCTTGATTGTATCGCGTTGTAAGGAATTGTGAGGGTGCTGCCAAACTATGCGGTGATGGACCCGATCCGTCCGTCATGGAAGTAGAGAGGTTCTGAAATCGCTTCAGTAGTAAGCAGGGTCCAAAATTAACAGTTGAAGAGACAGCAGCTTCTGTTACATCTTGGCTATTTTGCATATGGAGGCTTTTTAAGCAGTACGAAACAGTTTCGTGTCTTTAGGAAACACCAAGAGCATTTAATTCCGACTCTTGATTCTTTTGTAGCTGTAAGCCTCCCTCCCTGCTTTCTAGGAGTGTATTGATTTGGTTCTCACCTTGTTGATCCATAGTGCTCTGCATCCTTAATTCAGTTCTGAGGGGCATTCTGTCATGTGATGCACAACGTGCTGTCAGAAATTTACAAAATCATGCGATGGGTGGCACGCATGGATAAATAACCAGAGTAACCAGAGTAACCGGTGGGAGCCCTATGGTTGCTTTGGAGAGCTGAAGCCTCGATTTACAGCTGCGTGGGAAGTACTAGAAAACAATTAGAGGTGTTCAATTTATAACTGATGCAGGTTAATACTATTCTCTCCCTGCATACTTATCCAATAAATATCTTTATTGACAGAACGTAAATGGCTAATGAAATTTCAGTTCTGGACAGATCCAGCAAAATGTCATATTGGCAAACCAGTTTTTCAGAAATACAGTTTAGTTATGTGAATCGATGTCCTTTGAGTGCTTCAGGTTAATTTAGATGCCTAGGGCAGAGAGTGATCCTGATCCAAGTGGCCATGACGCAGTGTCTGAGATGCACTTGGCTGTGCCTCATACCTCACCTGTGTTTTCCTTGCATGCCTTCTTTGGGAAATAAAAGGCAAATTTGATGGTGAAGATGAGCGGAATTCTTGCAAGACTACAGGCTGAAAACACCAACTTTCTTTTTTCATTCCCTTATGGGTAATGTACAAAATCTAAAAATCCAGTCTCTGATCAGTAGAAGCACCATCACACGAGTAGTCTTTATTTGTGATACTCATTTCACTGGGATTGTTCTCAGGAGGATTATGCAAGCAGGAGAATGTTTGCCACTGAATTACCTACACAGCCTTCTTCTGAACTATTTTCTTCATCATAGTTCTTCTGACCTTTTCCAGAAGATGAAAACATTTCAATCGTATATTTTCAGAAGGGTGCTTGATTCACTGTTGATTAATCTTCTTTGTCTGTTAATAAGTAATGAAGGTTTTCTGGAGCATTTTATTAATTATTTACATGTTGAAACCATTAATCAGCTATGGACTTACTGATAGTCATCGCTGTTGTCACTGCATGGTGCACATACCTAGCTAAAGCTAAAGGAGAACACACGAGTTGCAGAGACCGTTAGACTGCTCTTCGTAGTTTCATAAACACAGTGTATTCAACATAATGAGTCCATCTGTATGCTTTACAATTAGAAGGGCAAACAAACAAACAAAAAAAGTTAGATTGCAGATTGTAGATTTGTAGTAATAATTTTTTACAGGAAGTATTTCCATATGCATTGTAGTAAGAAATCTGGAACTAAAGCAGTTGGATAATCCTGTCACAACTGCAAGATTCGAAAAAGAGCGTTCCACTTTCCCATTTGTAGGCATGGGAAAGCGCTGCCTATTCAGTTGTGTAAATAAGGATGGATATGAAAATATTAGTAATGTAATTTACCAGGAGTAGTAGGCAAATTATTTTGATGCAGCTAAGTGAAACAAGCGGCGTGTATTTTCAGAAATACATATTTACATTTTGTTGAACTACTGAAGAGTTGCAGAAGGATCATAGAAAAGATGAATGAATGATGCATCTCCTTCGAGTTTTATTAGATCACACAAATGGAACACCGATCTTTTTGGAAAAGCTAATGCTGTTTTTGAACTGCAGTTAAAATACTGACTTGCAGCTGCACATACAGTATCCAGCAAATGCAGTAACTGCATACACTGATGTATGGAAGCTCTGCAGAATTCAAGATAAGCAAAGCACAAAATGCCTCTGCATCCAAGTGTTCCCTTCGTCACTTACTGGCTTCAGATGTTTCCAAATGCTGATAGTATCTGCTGCTGCCCAGCGCCGCTATAGGCGTATGTGAGCTGCTCTCTTTCAGCTCCTGTGTAGTCGATGAACGCGGTCCAATGAAGTCAACAAAGGATGCTCTTAAACAGGATGTGGGAATTCAGCTGGTAGGGCTGAGGACATAGCTTTTCAGCAGAGAAGCATGGCAAGAGTGGAGATGGGCAGTCCTGTGACTGACTGATGCTCAGTCAGGCAGGAGGAAATTTCAGCAGAGCTATGCAGACTGTAGATGTGTTGGTGGCTGAGATCAGCTTTCTAGAGTTCATCCAGGAGATAGAAAATACGTGTAGTCTCAAAGCCTTCGCCTGCATGTGGGTGGTATGAAGATGGAGGGGTATCAAGGTGTGATAATGAATGGTATGTCTCGTTTGCAAGCGCTCGTATCGCTACCTAAAATGTAAAATTGCTAGATATTTTGCACAGGTAATGGGAGTGGACACTATTTTTTAATGCTTCTGCGTTAAAATTCTTGTAGCTCTCAATATGACCTGCCAACAATTGGGAGTAATCTAAATATCTGTATCTGTAATAGTTATTAATAGTTACTAATGCATGTATGAACATATAATTTAATGCAGAACATACGTATTTCTTAAATATACGTAGTGATGCATGAAGTGTACACTGTATCCTTCCAATTAACAACAAATACCAAATACTGGAGAGGGAGCTAATGGGAAGGATGAAGGATACATTATACAACTGAAATCACGTGAGGATTCTGTTGAGCTGTATTTATTTACTTCTGTGGAGCATTGCAAGCATACCTTCTCCCTTTGCATAAGGTGTTCTATATTAACAGTGGTCTCAAAATACTTCAGTTATAATGTGCTTCCAATTTCACGTAGAAAAGAAGAGGTTGGAAAATATCCTATAGGTACTGTCTGCCACTCTAATTTTTTTAAGACTTCCATCTGAATACCAGTCAGTTTTAACTCTTATTACCTTTTGAGATTTGCTGTAGTAGAAATGTGAATGACTTATGTGCCTAACCTTGCCTCCCTTTGAGCTGCTCTGCAGATCTGCTGCTGGAGGAGCTGATGTTTGTTTCTTTTGTCCCTCAGCAGGTGGCTACATTTTCATTGAAATAGCTGATCCTGCTGTGGAACAACATCTGTGGCTTTGTAGGAGTCACACTGACTGAAATAATTCAAATATTTCCTCCTTAGTCTGACCTTATTTTTACATAAAGATATAGTACTTATTTATTGCTTACTATGGGATATGATATACTAGAACATATGCTGAAGGTCTTCTGTAACTCAGATCTGACCCATATCTTTCATAGCTGATAAGAAGCATGAGTGTAGCTTTTGTGTGTGTACGTTCTATCAAAGCTTGAAAGAAGGTGTAAAAAGAAAGATAAAAGGACAGAAGGAAAATTCTATTGGATCAGACCAGTGGGCTGTCAAGCTCAAGGTTCTGCCTCCAGCAGTGACATTGAGATGCTATTTAGGGACCATACACAAACCTAGTCACTTCACGTGTTCTGTTCCCTTGTACTTTCCCAGCATACTTCTTGTACTAGGGATGGTAATGCTTATTGCTTTTAGGGCCTATTTACAAACTTGCAAACCAAGAATTTGCCTGATTTTTCAAACCTGTTAATCCTTACTGCTTTTACAACATTTGTTTGCAAGTTTCAGAAATTTACTAATAACTTTGTAAAGAAGCTCCTTAATCTCTTGTGAACTGATCTCTTGTTTTGTCAGATGTCCGAGTACTCTACTACTGGAGGATTTAGCAAGCAGAAGTTTTATTTTATTCACTTCTCTCATGGCTTGATTGATCAAATCTTACTTCAGCCTTATCTCCAACTGAATGGCCTCTTCAGTTTCTTTTTCTAAGGCAGGCACTCATCCTTTTGCTATCTTATTTGCCTTTCTTTAACTTCTGATCTGTCCACAGACCAGAACTTCATACAGTTCTTGAGATGTAGGTGGGCCAAGTTTGCACAGGCGTCTTCAATCTTGTTACTAATTCCTTTTGTGCTGATATATTAGCCCAACATTTTATGATATTTTTTTCTGGTTGCTGTTGCACATAAAACTGGCAATTCTGGGGATAAGTCAATTATGATTTCTAGATTTCTTTTCTGAGTCATTAGTCAGCATCATGAATACA